TTTAAACCTTTTTTGGAAAAAGAAATGGAAGTATTGATGAAATTTTAAGGAAAAAAACTTGTATATACCTGTTCTAATGATATGGTCCGCCATCTTGGATTTTGGCCAATGACGTCATCAAATTAGCATAAATTATGCATATTTAATGAAAAATTAACATAAATTCATATGGGATGTTATTAATATTAGAAACCATGAGTAACTTGACATAAAACCCATAAAATTCTATTCTTGAAACAAAAATTACTAAATTTAGCAAAAAAATGCCTGTCAGAAACCCGTTGCCATGGCAACACAAAAAATTATTATCTTATTCCAATGATAGAAAATTGTTGCCAACAATATTTTAGGAAAAGTCACCAAGTTTGGTCATTCTAGCCCTAGCCATTCAGACGCTATGTGACATCAAAGTTGGCGCGGGCACTTTTAGCCCCCCCCGGTCTAGATAGGGTTAAGACACGACCGTATTTGTTGTTTACCAGAAGGTCGCCTATTGTCCGAAATGTCCCTTTCTCTCTCTCTCTTTCATTCATTCATTCATTCATTCATTCATTCATTCATTCATTCATTCATTCATTCATTCATTCATTCATTCATTCATTCATTCATTCATTCATTCATTCATTCATTCATTTCATTCTTTCTCTCTCTCTCTTGATTAGATAACAAGTCTAATATCTACACTACTGTTTAATTAAATCAGACATTGTATGCATTGTAAATTATACGGTTGTGTCTGGATAAAATCAGGACTAAATCTCCTTTTGCGTAGAACACTAACTTCAGTCATAAGGACCGTGAAGTCAGACATCTTAAAAGTAGACTGGGGAAGTGCGCACTTTGTGCATCTTATGCCATATACTGCGCTATAAACACACAGGGTTGGGAAAGTACCTCAGGGCTATTCTCTTGTAAAAGATAAATTTGATGCAACAGGCTTGATTCTTTTCTTTTAATCTTTAAGATCTATAAAACATTAGTTTAAAAGTTTAATGTCCGATGCACACAGTTACTTGTTACATTTTACTTACCTTGCGCCCTCCTCTTAATTATAATGAGATAAAGGGCTGGCCTAGGTGTACTTCAACGAGTCATCTTGTATATATTTGTATATTGAAATAAAGATGATTTTAACCCCTATGTATTGGACTGGATATGAACGTATAAAAAATCATGTCAGGGCATGACTCAATTTTAATTGTCTCTGAACTCGTCTTGGATTGAATTATGTTGGTTTTACATCTGATTATTATGAATTCATGAGATTCTTCAATATGGGTGGGGTATGTTAGTTAGAAGCAAAATTCATCTTCAACGTTCGTTTTTTTGTTGTTGTTGTTGTATGTGTGTAACAGTAATACTATAACTCGATAATGTTTTGATATATTGTCTTGATATTTGGAAAATTTCATTCTCAACGATTTTTGGTAAAATTATCTTCAACGTTGTCTTCTTTTGTGTGTGTAACACGATAATTTAATAGATTGTTTTAATAGTTGGTAGTATACATGTAGGTGTGTAGGTCTTGATGATATATCAAAAGAATTAAATTCTAGGCTTCATGGCTGCTTGGTATGGTACTGTATAGGTGAAAAGCTTGGTTTTGATATCTCACGATCTGGATATGCTTGGATCACAAAGTTTGCATGAAATATATTTCTTTTGCTCGGGAAAATTGAAGTTTGTTACCGCTAGCACTTTGATCTGAAACTGCAGGGCGTTTTTTTTTAATGTTTGAAGGCTAATTCGAGATCCGGTTAAATGGTCGTCCTGATCTTCGATTGCTAATTGTGTGATTCCTGACAAAATTATCTGAAAATTTTGCTAACCAGGTGATCACATGGTTAACACATGAGGTCATTGACCACGGAAGAATCCATTGTTGTGGCAGGGAGCAAAAAAGAAGTTCTTTCGTCAAGCTAACCGACATCTAACACACCACACAGCCGTCCCTTAGTAAGACATCTGGAGCCGCATTGTCCCTTATAGAACTTTTATTCAGCCTGTAACGACAGGTTTTTACTTTGTGCTCTTCTTCAACTCTACAGAGTTAAATAACACAAGTGCATGAAGTTCTCACTTTTATAACTTCTAGTTTGTGTATATCGCCCTGGTAACACGCTACTATTCGTAATGCATTGCGTAAACAGGGGTCCAAACTCATTTGTATACGACATGAAGGCATCGGAATGATCCTGGTGACGTTAAACAGCGGTAAACAGTGTTTTGAGGTGCTGGGGTTTTTATGCTCAACGTTAATTAAATTACTATGGGTTGCATCTGACAACAAATAGAGAATGTATTTTTGGAATATGCGGTTTCTGAAGTTATGTGGCAATCCTATACTGATGCTGTACGTTACAGACCACATGATCTATGCTGAAAAGAATACAAAAACTTCATTCTCAATTTGTTGTCAGATTTGACACATAGTTCAATTAATGTTTAGCATAAACTGCCCCAACACCTCAAAACACAGTGAAAAACAAGCTGTTTAACGTCACCAGGATCATTCCGATGTCTTCCTGTCCTATGCAAATGGGGGTTTAGACCCCTGTTTTTGCATTCTGGGGATTGGAAACTCGTGAATACAGGTCGCAGTGGTCTAACATTAGTTGGCCTACAGAATGACGAATCCCCTTTAAGTATATAGAATTCTCAGTCCAGCTAGAAGTGTTTGTACACACATCTCACAAACTACTAGATGACCTTCTCTTTTTTACTACTCTGACTCTCTGCTGTATGATTCGATTTGATTTTGTTTAGGTCTTGGCTACCTTCTATTACGTAATACTAAATAAGGAGGTCTTTTCAGGCTGGAAAATTAAAACAAAGTTTTTAATTACGTCAACCTGGATCCACAGCTTTCACTTACTTAATGAATAGACAGAATTCCCACTTTGTGGTTAGTTTTAAGTTTTATATGTGTGGAAAAATGTCAAATGCGCGAACTCTACCTGTAATTTTGACATTCAACCTATTGCCGGTCTGTTTGTATTTAAAACATCACAATTAAAAAGTAAATGTGGAGGTCTGAGTTCAGAACCATGACAATTTCATAAATACTGCTGTCTACTGGTAGAAATTCTAATTTGTTGCAAGTAATGATATTAGTGCAAAACGTCTCAAAGGTGTGACTGGTAGGAATTTTGTAATTATTTCATTTACAACCAAAACAGTAAGCTTTGCCTAAATCCAAATCAAAAGTTTTGTATTGCCCAAAAGTCTACTGGTAGGATTGTTGATTTTACAGAGAATCTCGACTTTTTTAAAGTGCTTGTAATTAATATATATATATATATATATATATATATATATATATATATATATATATATATATATATGTGTGTGTGTGTGTGTGTGTGTGTGTGTGTGTATGTGTGTGTGCAATCATCAGCCGCCTAGTAATTTGTACAATTTGCTAACAATTAAAAAGGCAAATTTGTAGAAGTAAGTCTAGATTATGACTCGTATTTCCAAAAGACGTGACCTACTGAATATAAATTCTAATTTGAATCTAATATTTTTCGACAAATCTTAAAGGCAATGAACACTTCTAAGTGCTTTTAACTTTTTTGTTAATCCAATCACAATTTTGTCATCACCCATAAAGAAATTATTACTAGGTTTAAATCCACAGAATGCTGCTAAAATCTGAAAGGTAACTTATACATAGTCTTTGATTTTTCGACAACAGATCTAGATCTCAACGACAATGTCGACAACAGTTTGATTAATTATGTGTAATTTACATAATCAATTAGAAAATGCTATACATCTAGGCACTGGTAAATGCTGGGAATTTCATACTCGTGGCATTAGAAAGTACACATCAGGATATCATTTACATAGTTGATGAGAAAATATGTGTCCATAATGTAAAATAGGAACAACATCTTACTAACAAGGAGCTCTACGCTGGTCTCCCAAAATTGACGACAAAAATACGAGCTAGGCGACTACGATTTGCCGGCCGCTCACTGAGGAACTGCAGGGAAATAGCGTCGAACCTTGTCCTGTGGTCCCCAGCACATGGGAGAAGGAGGTTCGGAAGACCACCCGTCACCTACCCAGATATGCTGCGAAGGGACGTTGGCCTTCCGGGTTGATAATGAAGACACGGGGGAAGGCGTTGCAGGATCGGAGCTTCTAGGCAGCCATTGTGGTTCGGGTAGCAGAGGAGGACTGGCACCCGACTTAAGTCAAGTAAGCCAATAAGAAAATGCTAGATTGACTAGAATGTTAAAATCTGAAGCAAGGAATCGAACCATGACCTTTAGTATTTTGGGAAGATAGTGACGTAGTGCTTCTGGTGGCTCACAATTAGCTCTCCCTCCCTGCCTATAGCAACAAACTGGGGGCTTCTGATATTAGCAACGGTGCCAATATATTCTCCTTCAGCTCTGAACATCTCCACTCGATTGTTGCCATTATCGGCCACAATAATGCGACCCAAACTGTCCACAGATATGGCCGTGGGAGAGTTGAGGTGGTTGTGACCAAAGGAGCAGATGTATGTCCCATTCTTGTCATACTTCAAAACCTTATTGTTTTTCACGTCAGTGATGAAGATATTACCTTCCTTGTCTACTATGACAGACGAAGGCCATTTAAGCCACTTTAGTTCTGTCTTCCTGAATGGTTGCACTGTGCATAGATCTCTCAGAAACCTTCCAGCTTTCACATCCTTACCTTGATGTGTTGTCATTATGATGTTGTCGGAAAGTGTATCCAAAGCAATCCTTTTGACGTGTCCTAACTTGCACCTAGACGTAGCCAGAACATCGCCTTCCCTACTGTAGCGACGTAGGTTCTTGATACTTACTTTCATCAAACCTCTAAGCCTGGTACCTGACAAAAGGATCCACAGCTTATCCTCACGGTCTATGGCAATAGCCTCTGGTTTCATATCTGTGGGAAAACTGCGGAGGAAAACGCCCTTCATGCTGAAGACCTGGATTCGTTTGTTCCAAAAGTCACAGACAAATATCTCGTTAGTCGACGACACGGCCAGTCCATTTACATAGCTGAACCTACCGTAGTTTCTCCCTTTCTTCCAGGCTTTTCCGTGCCCACCAAATGTGATGATTTTACCGATGTCACTCTGTTGAGTTATCAAACCTGTAGGAAAAACATACATAACTAAGGCTTGCAATAAAAACATTTTCACGAAGGTAAAAATTATGCAAAAAGAAGAAAAACATGAGTGGTGCAGATAAATATTGGTATACCTGATATTACAAATGGTGCAGTGCAGATATGCAGAAAAAAGGGATTTGTATAATGGATTTGTCGGATTAAAACAAAAAAAGAAAAACATTGTTTTGTACAGTGTCATGATACAATTCCTATACTCACCATTCTGTTGTAGCCTATGATAGTCAATGCTTATATGTAACAATATGATGGTATTGAATGAGTAATACTATACTTAGTACCATTAGTGCCTCCAAGGACAGTTTGGTTGGTACCATTATTGCTCCCAGGGGTAGTTGGGGTGGTGTCATCAAGTTCTGTCATCACTACTAAGGTAGTACTCCAGTTTGTGGGTCCTTGCATATGCATTGGGAGGACCTATAAGTGCATCATAGCAATAGTAGTAACGTTACATGAATGTTTACCTTCGACAAGAAGGCTATGTTTTCGACTTTGTCATGGTTTTCTGGGTCTGTATGTAGGTCAACACCATAACTCGAGAAGCTTCATGGCATTTGGTTATTGAGGGGCGGTTGTAGAAAAGAAGGTCAAGTTTGTTTGTTTGTTTGTTTGTTTGTTTATTTAGATCCCCATTAGTGCTTAAAAGCACTATTCTTCCTGGGGTCAATAAAATGAAACATAGATAACAAAACTTGTACATAATGATGATTACAAAATAATAAAGTAAGTTCAAAATCAATAGCAGAGGTCAGAGGTCGACCTAAAAGAAGCATAAAATAATCTGAACATAATCCAGCGTTGTACGTAAACAACAAAGGTGCCCACAAAATTAACAAAGGTATAAATAACATAAATAACTGAATAGAACATAATGTCTAACTCATCATAATTCCAAAGAAAAGATAAATATAACAAATTGATCAGCCATTTAAATAACTGAAAGGTAGCAGCAGAGACAAAATAACTTATACAAAATCAAATAAAACATTCTATACAATAATAGATCAGGCTTAGCTTATGCTTGTTACCACCATAGGCTCGAAAACATAAGTTCGGAAACGGTTGCCCTGGTGTTTTCTTCACGGTACTACAGCCTGCTGTATGTGTATGTGTGTTTGTATGTCGACAACATAAGAAGCTGTGAATGATATGATATGTACATGATATGTATGATATGTACATGATATTTAGTGGATGGGTAGGGGTCACAAGAATGAAGCTCAAGATAATGATAACCCTCTAGTGGGTACATGTTCTTACAGTAGTAAGCCTACCTTCAAACCTTGTGGCGAAATTCTTTGGTTGATGATTTTTGATTAGTAGAAAGCTTTTGAGGCTAAGAGTAAGTGGTGTACGTTTGGTCCTCTTAGTAGGTTGTTCTTGAACTTGATCTATCCATCCGTCCATCTATTCATCTATCCATAGGATAAATATAGATATATCTGTATACTATTAGATAGAGATATCAATAGATAAAATTAATTAATGAAAACTAATACCTTACCGTCGTGTTACTTCGGCCCTGGGCGTTGTGGCTCTCTCCTACATGTACAATCATTCCCGTTGTAATCAATGCAATCATAACTATGAAAATTCCAATAGCGATGACCCAGCAGTAACGATACATTGGAGAATTGTCTGTCAAAAAAATTAATATAGTATAGAAGTATAGAAAATAAATCAAACTACTGGATAAGGGTTCTAACAATGTCTAAAATCCCTTATGCATCTGCTATTATCTTTCTTGATTGAAAAACGTTCTGCTTAAAATATTTTGTATAATATATTACACAATCTTTTATCTCATTTCGTCAAATTACTGAATACCCGGTTGAAAAAAAATTGAGTAACTGAAGTTGAAATAATGCTAAACCCGGTCTGAAAATAGTCATACTCGAAATTAGTATGTAATTTGGTCTCAGTATTAAAAAAAACATCAAGTATTAAGCAAATGCCAAGTTCGTACTAAACTTTTGCTATAATTTCTGCCATTAACACAAGGAATCAGAGGCCTTAAATTGTAGAACTAAAACTTCCTGGAACAAGAAGCCTTTATTGATGTGACCTTGTAGAATAATATTTTCGAAGAATGAGAAGCCTTACATTGATGTGGCCTTGTAGAACTAGAATTTCCAGGAACCAAAAGCCTTAGATTGATATGGCCTTGTAGAACAAATTAAAATTTAATTTCCAGGCCCCAGAAGCCTTAGATTGATGTGGCCTTGTAGAACAAATTAAAATTTAATTTCAAGGCCCCAGAAGCCTTAGATTGATGTGGCCTTGTAGAACAAATTAAAATTTAATTTCAAGGCCCCAGAAGCCTTAGATTGATGTGTCCTTGTAAAACTAAAATGTCCGGGAACCAGAAGCCTTTAATTGATGTGACCTTGCAGAATAAAAATTTCAAAGAACTAGAAGCCTTAGATTTATGTAGTCTTACAAAAAATAAAATTTCCAGGAACAAGAAGCCTTTGATTGATGTGACCTTGTAGAATAAAAATTTCAAAGAACTAGAAGCCTTAGATTTATGTAGTCTTATAAAAATTCAGTAGATTGATGTGGCCTTGAAAAACTAACATTTACAGGAACGACTTAGATTGATGTGACCTTATAAAACTAAATTTACAGAAACCATAAGCCTTTGATTGATGTGGCCTTAGCTTGTAGAATAAAAATTTCAAAGAACTAGAAGCCTTAGATATTATATATATGTAGTCTTATAAAAATAAAATTTCCAGTCTCTACAAGAAGCCTTTGATTGATGTGACCTTGTAGAATAAAAATTTCAAAGAACTAGAAGCCTTAGATTTATGTGGTCTTATAAAAATAAAATTTCCAGGAACAAGAAGCCTTTGATTGATGTGACCTTGTAGAATAAAAATTTCAAAGAACTAGAAGCCTTAGATTTATGTAGTCTTATTCAGTAGATTCAGTAGATTGATGTGGCCTAGGCCTTGAAAAAGTAATATTTACAGGAAACATAAGCCTTAGATTATGTGGCCTTGTAAAACTAAAATTTACAGAAACCAGAAGCCTTAGATTGATGTAGTTTTGTACATTTTCCAGGAACCAGAATCCTTTGATTCTCGTATGTGGCCTTGTAAAACTATTGCCTTACCTCCTGCGCATGCCCACTGGTTGGGTTGGTATGGTCCGTACAGCTGATTTGGCTGCTGTGCTTTCAGGATAGGTTGGGGTTGAAGTTTCTTCAATTTCTTGCAATCCTTTGAGTCCGCTGCTGTGGAATCCTGTTGCTTGTGTTCATCATTGTTGCTATCTGCTGCTTGCTGTTGGCCAACATCTGCTTCATACATCGGATTTGTCAGAACTCTGTTGTGAGGATCCTGGGGTTCACGGGTATCAGGGGCGTTGTTTGCTTTGTCAAGTATTCCATTTACGTTTTCATACACATTGCCTTCGTTTTCAACATCACCGCTGTCAGGGTTGATAGTGCCACCTAAACTCGCCATGGTGTCTGAGTGCTTGATATTACTAGTAGGTTCTCCGACTGTGTCGCTGGCACCTACAATTGGCACAGGGACGTCTTCATTTGCCCCAGATGCACTGTTGTCTTCAGTGCTGTCCTTGAGCTTGTCAACAGGTCTGGCATTGTCATCAATGGCTTCTGATGAGGTGGCCGGAGTATCATTAATTTTGGTGTTATCATGACCAGTTAACGTATCAGGCTGACTTACACAGCTGTTTGTAGGTTCAGCATTGTCAGCGATGTTCATGGCCTCTGCTGCTGATATTTCTTCACCAATGGTTGAAACGTTCCCTGGTGAGGTTGACATTGATTTTGGGTCAGTGTTTTCAGTGTACAGGGTACTTAGTTCTTTGTTTTCTAGTTGACGTGTTGACCACTCTTGATCCTCTTCAGTCAGGTATATTGGGCTGTCAACATCACTACCTTTTGTAAATACAAAGTGCAAGTTTAAGGATGGGAATTTTTGAAATCAGACTTGAAATGTCGAGGGTGATAGGTGGCGCTTTTAGGGGCAGCCGCGGTGTTTACCTCTGTCCCTGAAGATTTTATCTGTTGCTGTTTAAATGAACTTTTATTGTGTTGCTGCTGACTTTATGTACGTCTTAAATGTTGCTGACCTTGCTGGGAACTATTTCGACTGGCTATAAGTGCGGGTGGCGTCTATCTGCGTGTCCTCTGTAGACAAGCTGTTCGGCTGCTCCGTGCCCATACTCCGCCATGGCTATATTCTACAGGTATTCGTCTGAATTTTTGCGGACCTGTCGGACCGTAACCCAACTCCTACCGCAGATGAAGTCAGCACTTAGAGAAGCTGGTCTACTGAGAATGCTTTCCAGGCCGAGGGGTTGCAAAGGTGGGCAAAATCGTATTCGTCGAATCCTAACCATTACTGGAAATAGACCTGCATTCCCAGCCCAAGCACCCTCTTTGATATGCAAATCCACGGGTCCCGACCAGAACAACACAACATACCGGCATAATCTGCAAAGGCCCCGCATGCTACATTGCATCCAGTGTACACCTGCTGTCACTGTGGATAAGACGATCCGAGTCCCGCGAATGTTCCTGTGTAACCCCAGGTCCTTAATGAATAAACTTGATGAGCTACAAGCAACTTTGACACACAATGAAGTCGATATCGGAGTCATCTCCGAAACCTGGTTATCAGACACACATCCTGCATCTGCCATTGCATTGAATGGTTTTGACGTGTACTCTAAGCACAGGCTTGACAGAAGAGGCGGCGGTGTTGCCGTGTACGTGAAAGAGCACATACCCTCAAGACAACTGACCGAATACACTGTGCCCGCAGAGTTAGAATGTGTATGGGTGTGGACTCGTCCTCACCGCCTACCAAGACCGCTGTCAGCGATTATCGTCTGTGGAGTTTACTCCCCACCGAACTCACCTCACAGAGATCCACTACTCAACCACCTGTTAACTGTGGCTGATGACATCCGTACCAAATACCCTGATTGCGGTGTTGCACTGCTAGGTGATTTCAACAGAGCTAACATCTCTGATCTCTGTAGAGCAGGCCACCTGTCTCAAGTGGTAAAAAGCAACACTAGAGGAAATGCTCTGCTCGACTTGATCATTACAAACATGAAAGACAGATATGAGCTGCCCTCTATCCTGCCCCCACTGGGTCTTAGTGACCACTCGTGCGTCCTCTGGGCTCCGAGTCACAAGCCTACCGTAAAGCCTACGAAGAAGAGAGTGCGACAGCTGCGTGAAACAGACATGCTAGAGTTTGGCAGGTGGATAACGTTACATCAGTGGTCCGAAGTGTACGGTGCGGTAGGTGCAGCTGCAAAGGCTGACGCTTTCCATGCTACTTTGGAACGTGCCATGGACACTTTCTTCCCTATGAAAACCACCAAAACACACAGCATGGACAAACCTTGGATCACAGCCCGCATTAAACATCTGATCAACCTAAGACAGAAGGCCTTCCACAAGGGGACCCCGACCGTGTGGAAATTCTACCGAAACCGGATCCAGAGGGAACTAGCTCTTGCAAAGACGTCCTACTACAAGGATCATGTATCCACCCTCAAAGCATCCAACCCTAAACGCTGGCATCAGGAAATTATGTCAATGGCTAACAGATCCAAACGAGACACTGCGATAGTCATCCCTGGGTCAGAAACATCTGACAACACTACTATCGCTAATACCATCAATGCTAAGTTCGCAGCAGTATCGCAAGCCTTGCCTGCTCTTGACACTTCTCAGTTACCCGCTGTTCTTCCGGCCGCGCGGCAGTTACCCACACTGAACGTTTGGGATGTTTATAAGAGACTGCTGGCCGTCAAGGCGAACAAGGCTTCCGGCCCGGATGGTATCCCCTCTAAGGTCATACGGGACTTTGCTTGCGAACTCAGCACTCCTTTTTGCCACATCCTGAACTCCTCCTTCGCTGAAGGCACTGTCCCAAGCCAGTGGAAACAGGCAGTGGTTGTACCTGTCCCCAAGTCCCAACCAGCCACCCTCGATCAGCTGAGACCTATTTCCCTGACTTCCCAGTTCGCAAAGGTCGCTGAGTACTTCGTGACCAAATGGATCCATCACGACATCACCTTTGATCAAAGACAGTTTGGTAGCCTGAAAGGAAGATCAACTGTCCATGCCCTTGTAAGCTTAGTAGACAAGCTTTTCAAGGCAGCGGAAAACCCGTCAACCTTCAGTACAGTAGTAGCCACGGATTTTTCGAAGGCTTTCGATAGGGTTCATCATAACACTGTTATTGATAAACTGGTGATCAAGGGCCTCAGACCTGAGCTGGTGCCGTGGGTCTGCAGCTTTATTTCCGGGAGGAAACAGTGTGTACGCTACCGCCAATCGCTTTCAAACTGGGAAACCTTGACATGTGGTGTTGCGCAGGGGACCCTCCTAGGTCCCATTCTGTTTTTAACACTCATTGATGACGCTGCCAACGACTCTCCGTGCCCTGTCTGGAAGTACGTTGACGACATGAACTTACTAGAGACAAGAACTTTAAGCCAACCTTCCATGCTACAACATGCCCTTGACGATCTGAACCTATGGACACAGCGTAACCACATGCTGCTGAATGGAGGAAAATGTCTAACCATGCATGTGACCTTCACCAAAAACCCACCTCCGCCACCCCCTTTGCTAATCAATGAGACGGAGCTAGCTGTTGTCCCGAGTCTGAAAGTGCTTGGTCTTCACATGCAAAATGACCTCCACTGGGACGATCAGGTGAACAGCATGGTAACGAAAACGGGCAGAAAACTCTTCCTCCTTAAACGACTGAAGAAGTTTAACCTACCTGAAGGTGACCTGGTGGCGATATACATCGGGTATGTTAGGCCAATACTGGAATATGCAGTTCCAGTCTGGCACTCAGGCCTAACTAAACGCCAGTCTGATCAACTGGAGCGGTTACAGAAAAGGGCGTGCCGTACAATCATGGGGAAAGACTACTGCGGGTACTCACATGCTCTGCAGCACCTCGGACTGACAACACTTGCCTCTAGGCGTGAACAGCTGACTCTGAAGTTTGCTAGGTCCTTGCTAAGCTCTGAGTTCAGGGACTGGCTCCCACCACCTAGGGCTCAGATCACAGGAAGAGTAACACGCAACAACCACAAACTGAACTGTCCGAAAGCCAGAACGAAGCGGTACTTGAACTCTTGTGTGCCGTACATGACTAGACTTGTAAACCAGCACGGACAGTAACTTGCCTCTTTTTGTAATGTGTGTGTACAATTTGTCCATATTTGTGAACTTTAATGAAGTCCAGCTTTTAATGAATTCCACCTTTTAATGAATTCCTTATTTTAAAATGTAAATTGGTTTTAATTCAGTGGCAACACTGCGATTTCCAATAAAGAGATCTTGTATCTTGTATCTTGTATGTTAAAATTAGACTTGGATGTGTTTCAAGTCTGATTTCAAAATTTCGCTTTTCCTTTTTTGACGAATGAACATACAAGCCTTCTGGTAACAGTTTTTTTCCTTATTATAATAAGTACGATCATAATAACTTTTACTCTGCTATTTCATAAAAAATCTCGAATAGTTAATTTGATTTTTACAAAATTTCTTCAAATAAAAATTACATGTAAGTGACTGAATCTATCAAGGAAGTCACTTTTGTTTGTAATATTGTTGGTTGATTTGTTGGCTTAAGGAAAAACTCAAGGAGGTATGGTTGAAATGTATGTTAAATCGTATGATTTTTTGCGAGTTCATTTAGTACTTTTTAGCTCTAAAATGTCTTACAAATAAGTACTCAAGCTACCCCTGCACAGACACGGAGAGTAAGACTCAGTTTTATGTATCATGTTTGACTGCCATGCTGCCCAGGTGATTTTTTGAAAAACCTTTTAACTCCATACGCGTTATATGAAAACATCTATTTGAAAACTTCATGTGCCGTTATCTGACATTATTCAATTTCAAAGGTATGATGATGATGATCATGTACGTATGATTGTACATGTAACAGGAACATATGTGACCTTGTCCTTACCATTAGTGGATGGTATGTCTTCTGACATGGTGGTTCCAGACATCCTCTTGCCAAATCACTCTGGGAACTGGTTATTAATGAAAAAATGCTTAGTAAAACTGATGCACACGACCGAAAAATTTCAAGCACAGAGGCTTTTAGATCTAGATGACATCAGCCATCTTTCTTAAGCTCCTAAAGAAGATGACCAGGTTAGAAAGCACGTCGGCAGAACGTACTGCGCCTGCGCAGAACCCCGTATTTCGCGTTTTTCGTTGGATGTTTGGTCAACGTTGCATGCATCAAAATATTGCCTGTTGCAGAGGATATTCTTTCCTACATAACATTTGGAAACTACTGTCGAAATGCTAACCTTATAGGAGCGAATACAACCTTATATGAGACTTTCTGCCGAAATGCTATGTACAATGGTTTCGCGCAGGTGCAGTACATTCTGCCGACGTGCTAGGTTAGAAGGTCCAAGGACCAAGTCACGTGACCAGTCTAGAAGGTCAACAAAAGTCACAAGGCGAAGGTTGCTGTATTTGGGGGGGGGGTTAGTCGGTGGTGGCCTTGGATAGAATTGATGAACTGAGAATATAAATCATAATACATCGATTTCTGCCTATTATCTAAAATGTGTAGGATTTTAATATCCAATTTGTTGTCGGGAAAAACAATTATTATTGTTTCAGGCTCTCACCGGCACATATTTGTACAATACAGGAACAAAAGCTAAATACATACAAAACACACAAAATCCAAATCAAATATATCCAAAAATATACGACCTTACATGAGACTTGATATGCATATTAAGCTAT